TTTTTGTATATGATAATTATGCATTGCCCAGTAGTCGGATGATAGGATCCCACTGCCACATGTAAATAAAGCATACTATCAGCACCTATCAGGTGAAGCACTGGCTGCTGCCTCCAACTATATTTTCCCTAACCCCCACTGAATAAATGGAGCTGTTTCACTGAGTCTGGAGCTGTATCACTGAATCTGCCTCCCCGGAAGGGCTTTCTTTCATCAGTGCTCAAAGGCTGTCCTGACCCCGTTCGTCGCTTCTGCTCCCTTTGCCCTCGTGGATCAGTGGCCAACAACCCATGAGGGGAGGGAGAGACCCCACACACATACACACAATCAATAAATTTAATTTTTAAATTAAAAAAAATGGGTCATTAGTCTACAACCAGAGACGACACACAGTTATTGTCTTAATCTATAAAGCAACTAGTTCAAGCACTCCAAAGGGGTCTGCATACCCCATAGGAGAAGCAAAACCTCTGCCAGGGGCTGAGTAAATAAAAGAAACATCTTATTTTAATTTAAAAGAATGAAACTGGGGCTGAGGAAATGGCTCAGTTCGTAAAGGGCTGTGCTACAAGTTCAGATTTTCGGCAGTGATGTTAAAAAGTTAGGCATGGCAGCAAGTATCTGCAATCCCAGCACTGGGGAGCACACCTACACACACAGACACACACACATAGAGAATATGAATGAATGAATGAGTGAGTGAGTGAGTGAATGAATTAATGAAATTAACTAGGAAGACGATCAGAAGGCAGGATTGCTTGCTGTGTAAGCATGAGGGCCTAAAGTCGGATCCCCAGCATACCGAGTAAAAAGCTGAGTATGGCCACACATAACTATAACTCCAGTGCTTGGGGGAGGGGAGGGAGCAGACAGGAAGATTGCTGACACTTGGTGGCTGTCAGCCTAACCAAAAAAACTGAGCTCCAGGTTCAGTGAAAGACCCTGTCTGAAGAGAATTAGAGAGAAATAGAGAACACCCAACATCCTACTTTCACCTTCTTACACATGTGCATGTATACACACATGTGCACACACAGGCATCTACCACACACACACACACACACACACACGAATGAAGATAAGCAGTACTAATAATGAATCTGTGTAACTGCAATTGTATTTCTAGATGAGTGAATATCTGGGGGTGGGGCGTACACAAGCATTTCCTACTGACAGAGATGTGGAGTCAAAGCAAATTTGATAGGCCTGTGGTTTCTGAGGAGTGATGCAGCCTTCTCAAAGGCTAAATAGTGTGTGTTGGCATCTGTGCGTACTGTACCTTCAGATTGTGGGAATCCAATCTGTGACAAGATCTGCTTCAAGGTCAGCCTGTTGCTCTTAAGCCCATACATTTGAAGCCATTTCTCAGATGAAATGAGACTCTGATCAGCCATGTCTGTCTTGATGGTGCTCAGCCCCTCCTGCCTCTGTTGACACTGCTCTGAGATGATTGAAGAAGATGAACCTGATTCCTCCATCTCTGAATCAGGACCTGAGTCGCAAGGGACTTCCTGCAAAGATGATGGTCAAACTCCGGGATCCTGAAAACAGGGGGGGGGGGGGGGTCTAGCATGAACACCACGAATGGCAGGGCTGGGGAGATGGCTCAGCTGTTAAAAGCACTGCCTGCTCTTGCAAAAGACTCAGGTTTGGTTCGCAGCACACATGACAGCTCACAACTGTCAGTAACTCCAGTTCCAGGGGATCTTAACTCCCTCTTCTGCCCTTAAAAGAACTGCACACATGGTGCCCTTACATACATGCAGGCAAAACATTTACACGCATAAAATAAAAATAAATTAAAAAGTTTTTAAATATCACTATTGGCTTACTATAAAATATAACATTCCTATGAAGTGGAATTTTAACTCTACATGTATACTGAAATTATGGATTTGGATGTATATCAAAATTATGGTATAGATGTGTATTAAAGT